TCTGATTATTTTATTGAGAATGGGTTGCAGAAGGAACAAAGAATGAAATGAGGAAGAATTGGTAAGAGACATTGTAGTTGTCCAGGTGAGCGTTCATGGCCAACTTGGACTGAGGGAGTGACAATGGAGATGGAGATAAATGAACAAGGCTATGATATACTGCTGAAAAAGTAAATGTGACAGAAAAGGGGAAGACAGGAGTAAGCATGACTTTCAGGGTTGGGGGCTGAAAATGGGTACATAGTAGTACCATTAACTGAAGTGGATTGTAGGGTCCAAGGAAGATGACAAAGTGGAAACAGTAAGTATAGGCAAACATTTCAAGAAAGTTTTCAACACAGGAGATTAGAGTTCTGGGACAGTAAATGACAGAGATGTTGAAGCAAAGATACGTGTGTGTGTGTGTGTATGTGTGTGTGTGTGTGTGTGTGTGTGTCTGTCTGTCTGTCTATGCTTAAGATTAGAGAACTAGATAAAGTGTTTATACTGAAGGCAATGGTTTAATAGGGGTAGGTAACTGATGATGAGAGACAACAGCACAAAGTATAATCCTGAATATTTAATTTTTGCCATTGGACAATTGCTCCTCCTAGGTGGTGCAAACATCTGGGGAAGAGGACATCTAACAAAAGGTGTGTGGGGGTTTCTAGGTGACTGAATTTTTCTGTAGCTCCCAGTGAAGTTATCTGACAACACAAGGCCATATGGAGAAAGTGGGTGTATTAATCAGGTTTCAGTGCCTGAACAGGAAATTAGCCTAAGTATGTCAAGCAGAAAGGGATTTAATACAGGAAACTCGATGCTTGTAAAGTCATTGAGGGGAAAGAGTGGCTGAAGGAGCAGAAGTCATGCTGGTGGACTATTGGCTTAAAAATCATGCCTGTATTGCTGAGATCCAGAGTCTGAAACTACTGCTGCCACCCAACCATGAAGCTGGGTCTGTGTCAATAGACTGTCTAGCCATTGCCAAGACTCACATCTTTCAGTCACACTTACCCCACCTCCGATCCCACACTTCACTGCCATGGGAAAATGCCATAAATTTTTTCTCTCAAATCTCACATGAGTGCTTCCAACTTGAAGAGCTTAATCCATACTCAAATCCTTAGTAGTAAGGGAGTTTGGTAAATGTTTTCATTTTTAGACCTAATGTCCAAATAGAAGGATAGGAAACTGGAGGTGCAGAAAAATTCAAATTTCCAGGGACACCTGAGTGGCTCAGTGGGTTAAGCACCTGACTGTTGATTTTGACCTTACAGTTTGTGAGTTTGAGCCCCATGTCAGGCTCCACACTGACAAGATGGAGCCAGCTTGGTATTTTCTCCCTCTCCCTCTGCCCCTTCCCTGTTCACACATACACTCTCTTAAAATAAATAAATAAACTTAAAAAAGAAAAAAGAAAAAGAAATAGTCAAATTTCTAGAACACTAGATCAATTTAGCAAGTATCATTGAGGTAATACAACTTCTAAATATTGGAGGTACTAAAACCCTTTCAGAAGATCTAGGCTCTCATCACTGAATTAGATTTATGATTTAGATGTTCTATTTAACCTAAAATTAGGAATATTATCTGCCAAGGTAATTCTTTTTTTGGACAGCATACTCTAGATTTTTACATAACATATGAAGCATTAAAACGAAATTCTGTTGTAAGAGCAATTTAGATATGACCAAGGGATACAGAGCAAATGTGCAATCATACTCCCACTCATCTCTCCAGAAATAGTCATTGTTTAATTCTTTTCTAGATACGTCCTTATGTATACATACATACAGAGACTGATTTCTTTTCTATTTTTTAATGTTTATTTATTTTGAGAGCATGTTTGCATGAACGAAAGGAGGAACAGAGAGAGACAGAATCCCAAGCAGGCTCTGCACCATCAGCGCAGAACCCAGCATGGGGCTCGATCCCAAGAACCATGATATCAAGACCTGAACTGAAATCAAGAGTCGGCCACTTAACTGACTGAGCCACCCAGGCACCCCATTTTGTTTTCTATTTTTCTTAAATAAGTAAGGCAATACTACATCTATTCTGAGATATTCTTTTTTCCAATGAACACAATATCCTGGAGATCTTGTCATCTTAACACATACAGACCTACCACAACCCCTTTAATGTATTTAATCTCATACATCGTGATTATTTAGGTTGGGTTTATTAAGATATTTAGGTTATTTCCCACTTTATACTCATAATCACAGAAATTTGGAAAGTCTCACACATACTTCACACATCCGAAATACACCTCAAGCATCTACATTTCCATTTTTACCTCCACAGTCCAAGTCACCACTACCAGACGTGTAGTCTAGCCTGTCTCTCAGTTCCACTTGGGTTGATTTTCCTCTACCATGCAGAAGACATACGTATCTGATTTTGTGTCACTCTCCACTTAAAGTGATGTGTGCCCCCTTGTGTTTATTACAGACTACCAGACGTGCAGAATCTGCACACAAACTTCTCTTTAGTCTCAACCATTTTAATCATTCCCTTTGTCCCTTGCCCTCTGGGGAAAAGACAGGCCTTCTCACTCTTCCTTCAAGAGCTGAGTTTTTTTTTCCCATTTCCAGGTTTTCCTACATGTTTCCTCCTGCAGAATGTCATTCCCATCCCTTTTCACTGATCCCACCTAAAATCTCACTTCTACAGAGATCCCTTCCCTGACATGTACATCTATCCACCTGTGCTATAAATCCATGTACTATTTTCTAAAACACCCATCATGGTACTTACCACGTTTGGCAATTATTTGTGATTTTTTTTCTAATTTTTCATACTCACTAGACATATCTCTGTGTCTGTTTTTTTTAAATGTTTATTTATTAATTTTGAGAGAGAGAGCAAAAGTGTGAACACATATGCGTGCAAGTGGGGGAGGGGCAGAGAGAGAGGGGAAGAGAGAAAATTCCAAGCAGGCTGTGTGTTGACAGCAGGGTTTGATCTCACCACCATGAGATCATGATGTGAGCTAAAATCAACCAACTGAGCCACCCAGGTGCCCCTTCTTTGCCTATTTTTTTCATTGCTCTATTCCTAACACTTAGCAAATGTCCTACTACATAGTAGATGCTCCACAAATATTTATTAAATAGATTCCTAATCCTTTGTCCCATCTTACTCTGCCATATATTTCCCATCTAGGATCTTCAAATAAGTGAGAGAGAAAGAGAGATCTGAATAGTTGTCTGAACAATTAAAATTCTAGAGAATTTTTAGGCCACTGAAATTATACTGCATGATAGTAGAATGATAGACACATATGGGACATTTGCCAAAACCCATAGAACTACACAACAGAGTGAACCCTAATGTAAACTATAGACTTCAGTTAATGATAATGTATTGATATTCATTCTTTGGTTGTAACAAATATACTATACAATAATGCAAGATGTTAATAATAGAAGAAACTGGGCTGGGAGGAGTATGTGGGAGCTCTTGTGCTTCCTGCTCGGTTTTTCTATAAACCTAAAGCTACTCTAAAAATAATGCCTATTAATTTTTTAAATGCTGGAGAGAGAAATTGGTCCTAAAAATAGTTGTTTATAGCTCAGTTATAGGGGAAAATCCCTTTCCTCCTGTATGCCTAACACCACAGACATCATCTCTTTTCCAATTGTTTTTTCTACTAATTTACCTATGACTGACAAATGCAATGGAATTTTCGATGTCTTTAGATTCACGCACGGGCAATTTCTAGTAAAATGGGTTGTGTTCCACAAATTATTTGAAATTCAATTGTAAGGAATTCTGAACATATCTGTTTTTCCATATAGTTAGTATTATCATTTGAGGCTAGGTTGCCAAGTTGGGCTGGTTTGTTCCAAGAAGAAGGAGTAGGTGGGAAAGGAGAAGGGATAGGGGAGGAGAAAGAAAGAAAAAGGGAAAAGAAATGCCACTGATACTCCTAAATACCTGCTAGATGTCAAACCCATACATACCCATGTATTTTAAATCTACTCAGCAGTTTTTGGAGATAGTATTATTTGGTTTTTGTAGTGGAGGAAACAGATTTAGAGAGGTTGAAAACTTGTCTAGAGTGGAAATGGCAGAGTAGTGTTTCAGAGAAGGCAGTACAGGTATTTAGATTGAGATAGGAAACAAAAGCAAACTACATTTACATGCCCAGGATATTTGAAAGTTAAATGTCAATCGTTTCAGTAATGCTTATAATATTCATACTACAGGTTTTTAAATTTCCAGAGAACAGAGTTTGTAATTACTTGATATGATACATTTAAAGATTGAAATGAAAAAAAAATCATTGGTAAAGGTTTTCTATCTTCGCTGGTATTCTTTTCTCTTTACTCTCTTCTTTCTGATGGTTGATAATAGTTCGCTACTATCACACAAAGAGTAATTCTCCATGAACATAAATGCATACCCTACGTATCTTTAACGTATACCCTACATATATCTATACCCTACGTATATCTAACCCAGCTTTACAAAAAGCCTAATCCAGATATTGTGAGGCTTATTCTATGTGAGAAGATAAATCACAAATTATCAATATGCCAGTTTGTAAATAAAAACTCATTCCCCAAAAGTCATCTTTTCACTGAATCATTTTGGAAGGTCTTATGTAATGGTGTGCAGTGTAGATTATGTTTTTGAAATGTGATATGCTTTTCTGGTTGTATTTCCTTGTGCTGACCTCCATGCAATCTGCCCAGAGGCATCTGTGTGCACACAGGCGTGGGGGTAGGAGTGGGGGTTGGGAGGAGAGCAGGTTTAAATGGCTAAAGAAAGCAGGCTAAAATAAAGAGTTAGTATTCAGTTTCTGGCATTCATCAAAGGATCTTGCAGCAACACAATAACTTTGAGAGGCAAATTTAGTTTAGAGGGAACACATTTTCTAAATTCTTTAACACTTATGAAGATATTAGGATGAGACCAAAAGGAATCATATCCTAAAGTTTCTTCCAAAGTGCAGAGGACACCTCTTCTTGTTGTCATCTAAATGCAGAGACTTGTCCTACAAGAACGCGATGAAGATAAAGGACAGTGAGTTTCACTGGACCAAAATCCTCAGGAAGAAATGCATTTTTTTTCTCATGACTCAATATACAAAAAGAGATATAAAATGAATATTTAACCATAGCTAAATATATGTTTTAAAATGGAAATTAAAATTTCATGAAATAATATGTAGAAGTTAATATGTCCTAATACTTGTAGTCTATTCTATTTCATTTTTTAAAAAGTAGGCTTGATGCCACAATTTGCTAAGGTGTTTTGACCTGAAGTTTGAGCAACACTGATAGGGTGGAAGAAGCCTGAAAATCATTGCCTCGAAAAGGATTGTAAGAAGAAAGGAGAGAAAAGTACAGTAAATAAAATGGATGATGATGTCATCTTTTCCTCGGTCTCCTCTAGGAACAACATTCTACAGAAAGAGTTTTTAAAACATCCAGGAAAAAGCATGAGGGGAATTCCAATGGCAGAGAGGCTTGTGGGGTGGGTTTTTTCCCCTGTTTGATATTCCTAACGCCGAACACTTGCCGCGCTGTCCAACATGATCTTCAAAGGATGGACATCATAGCAAGTCCAGAAAAAGGGCAGACCTGTGTTTAACTCTCCAGACCTACCCTTGGATCACATGTTGCATGAATGCGGTCTGAGCATTTTCATGTACACCCAGTAGGGATACACATGATCAGAAATAAACTAATGGCAGAGGGGGCTGGGAAGAAACATCACTGAGGCATAAGTGGCCCTCTAATATAGGATTGCAAGGGAATTGCTGAGGTTCCTATCATATGTCTATTTGAGGCAGCAGCAGCAGCCACTGAGGTGGGATCAAAGTGGTCAAGGCTCTCACCAAGGCAAGGTCGGGGACAGAGGGAGGCAGACCATGAATTGTACCAAGCACAGACATTAACATAACAGTAATGGACAGAATTCATTATACTTCGAGGGTCACATCAACTGTTTTCTGATCGAAATGGCTAAATTGGGAAGGTAGGCAGGCTCCACCTCATACACACTTTCCAAAAATTCCCATGAGTACATCCCTTTAAGGGAACCTAATTGATATTCAGGATGCTTGCAGCAAGAGAATCTGGGTAGTACAGTTTTTGTCTTTCCATTACAGAACGTGAGTGAAAAGAAAGTCTCAGGACTCCAGAATGCAGTTAAAAAATTAGCTATATTAATAATATTAATGATAAAAACTCAAAAGTATAAGAGATTAAATTTCCATCAAAAAAGAATATATCGGGTGTCTGGGTGGCTCAGTCAGTTGAGCATCCAACTTTTGATTTCAACTCAGGTCATGATCCCAGGGTCATGGGATTGAGTCCTGAGTCAAGCTCCACGCTAGGCGTGGAGCCTGCTTAAGATTTCTCTCTCTCTCTCTCTCTCTCTCTCTCCCTCTACCCTTCTACCCCTCTTCCCTGCGTATGCTCTCTCTCTCTAAAAACAAAAAACATGGGGGCGCCTGGGTGGCGCAGTCGTTTAAGCGTCCGACTTCAGCCAGGTCACGATCTCGCGGTCCGTGAGTTACAGCCCCGCGTCAGGCTCTGGGCTGATGGCTCAGAGCCTGGAGCCTGTTTCCGATTCTGTGTCTCCCTCTCTCTCTGCCCCTCCCCTGTTCATGCTCTGTCTCTCTCTGTCCCAAAAATAAATAAACGTTGAAAAAAAAATTTTAAAAATAAAAACAAAAAACATGAAATAGAAGTTATTGAATCATAGTATGTCTGTCTGATGAAAAAATACATTAATGCTATCAAAAAATACTGGTATCAAAAGTCATGTGTGCAAGAATCATTTATTCAATTTATTCGTCCCACAAATAGTTATTGACTTCTACTCTATGCAATGCATTATTAATGGAAAAGTCTTAGGGGCACTTGGGTACCTCAGTTGGTTAAGTGTCTGATTCTTGATTTCAGCCCACTCATTATCTCACAGTTTGAGTGACTGAGCCCCGTGTCAGGCTCTGAGCTACCAGTGTGAAGTCTGCTTAGAATTCTCTCTCTGCCTGTCTCTCTGTCCCTTCCGTGCTTGCACTTGCACTCACACTCTCTGCCTCTCTCAAAATAAATGAGTGAACTTAAAAAAAAGGAAGAAAAGGTTGAGGATAAGGTATATTATACGATCCCATATGCAATTTAAAAATCAGGATACATGTAGGGATATGTCAGGCTGTGCTTTCCACGGATTATCTCATATAATAATCCAGACAATTTTACCATTATCCCTATTTTACAGATGAGATAGTTGACATATAAAGACATTAAATAATTAGTCCAGTGTTAATTAACTTGTCCCATGGAGAACAAAGCCAGGACTACACTGACTACATAATGGGAAATTATAATAATTTAGTCTAATGTCATAGATAACGTATACTGTTTTGAATTATTCAAAGAACATCTCACAGACATTGATTTGGATTTTCAATGTTCTGTTATAATTCAATAGATGACCATTTTGAAACTTTTGCTTTGTTCTCTTTATTAACAAGGACATATTTTTTCAGTATTTTTAAATTAGCAGTCTCAAAGAAAGTATCAAATTCTAGCTACAAGAAATGAATTGTTATTTTGCAGGTAATTTTATTCACTTTTACCCAGAAAATCATTTGCTCAAAAATTCTGGTAATATGACTTATAAATAAATATACCATTTCAATCATAAAGAGTTAGCTCAAAAACTTTCAAATAACAAAGCTGCTTTACATAGCAACTGTGTACTTGAACACTTTAATTGAGGTATATTTTAAACTTAAACTGTGCTTTTGAAAATGAGATGCTAAATTTTATTTTAAATTAGTTTAATTTAGTTGTTTTATTTAGAAAACTTAATAATTAATTATCATGATACTTACAGTACCTTGGAATCAAATGTTTAGTTTTTTTAGACTGAATTGTATATATTCTTAAGATATATCTATTACTTATTAACAATTATTATTAGAGTACCTTTATTCAGACATCTGTAAAAATGTTATGAGAAAAAGCAACAGTTATGACCAACTATGCACACGAGGATGCCTTTGCCCTTCTTGTCCCTTTATATACTCTCTCTTTCCAAAAGCTGAACTAATTTCATGACAGTAAGTAGTTTGATGCCTTGATTTCTTCTCAATCTGTGTATTTCTAACTTGTTTTTCACAAAAGCTATGTTCCTCTATCTGTAGCTACAATGTAGGATCCAGAGGACAGAAAGCTTCTTCTGTATCATATTTTGATGCATCCCCAATGTCATTAGTGTCCGATGCACAGTAAGAACTGAACAAATATTTGTTGAATAAGTGGATGTTACCTCTGAGTAAAAATTGCTACTTAATCATTAGTTTAAAACTTATGTATGGTACCTGCTTTGTGCCAGGTTTTATGCTAGGCTCTCAAAACATAGGTATTGGTCATATGCACCCTTTTCATGGAGGAACTTGAGATCGTTTAGAGGTGCTAAATGTGTAAACAAATAAACAAATCTAACGTACTATTTTGTATGCTATGAAAGTGATCTGTGTTGAAAATAATTTAAATAATTAATTGTGTCAAATATAACTTAATCGATGGAAAATTTGTGTCAAGAGTTTTCTTAAAATCTTTTAGAAAGGAGATTTGAGGTCTTTCCTTATTTTCGTTTCACACATATTATATATACAGATATGAAAGAGTAGGACAAATTTCATTATCAGAGACCCATCAGAAGCAGACAGTGGGGGCAATGAGTCTCTCAAAGGAGATGGTAAAGGGAGAGAGGGTGACAGGCTGAGACTGATAGGGATGATTGTTGCCCAGCCTGTTAGGGAAAGGGTGAGCTAGCACAGCCTATAGCTCTTCGACCCACACAGAGGTAAGAATTGGCTGAGGGGAACTAGATCAAGGAGATGCTGGGAACCAGGTAATCAGGATCAGAGGAAATGAAGAAGGGGCCTTTTTTTCTTGGGGTGTTTCTAATTTCTTCTTGTCTTTAGTTCTGCATACCTGTTCCCTCCTTTTCTGAGCCTAAACCTATTTCTCCCTCTTGCAATTCTTAGTCTCTTCTCAAATATCTACAATATCTGAACTTAAGTATACTTATATTGGTTTGAGAAATATTTATATAGTTCTATTCCTCTGGTGTTTCTGTTATTTAAATGAGTAAAATGCAGTAGCTATTGCTTTGTCCTTGACAAAAGTTCTCATTTTTTTACTTCTATGTAGCTCTTAAATATTTTTTCTTAAATATTTAGTTTTATTTAGCTCTTGATTTAAAAACAAAACAAAACAAAACAAAACAAAAAAAAAACAACAGGAAACAAAAAAACCTTTTTATTCCCAATATCCACACACCTTAAATCAGGTGATATAGAGTCAACTATGCCATAATTTTCTTTTTAGACATGAATGTTTTAGCTCTTGAGACCTTCCTTCCTGGAGTATACCATATTCCACTAAAGGAAGTATTTTAAACTAGCATCTCAGGTAAGCTACCAGCAAAACCCAATTATTCTCAGCCCACTTCTTGTTTCTCTTAACCTGCAACAACTTAATCCTTGCTTTGAGTGATTACTCAATAATTATTTTGTGGGAGGCTGAAAAGATTGCCTGGGGCCCTTCTGTCTGCAAGTCTGGCCCTGATACTAACCTGGGGTGTGGGGTGAGAGAGGGGGTGAACTGACTCTGCTCTTGGTGACTCAGGGGTTTAGTTAGTTGAAGATGTCAGATGTGAAATTGTATTTAAAGGTAAGTTTTGGAAGAAGGTGTTTCTGAATCCATCAAAAGCATGTGAAATATTGCCCATCCTTTTTAGCAAATCTTAGAAGATGAAAGGTGTACCAATAGTTTGAAGAACATTTTCACTTTTAGAAGGATAGCTCTCAGGGGCGCCTGGGTGGCGCAGTCGGTTAAGCGTCCGACTTCAGCCAGGTCACGATCTCGCGGTCCGTGAGTTCGAGCCCCGCGTCGGGCTCTGGGCTGATGGCTCAGAGCCTGGAGCCTGTTTCTGATTCTGTGTCTCCCTCTCTCTCTGCCCCTCCCCTGTTCATGCTCTGTCTCTCTCTGTCCCAA